ATATATGTAATTTATTCAACAATTTTAGTAAATCACTGTCCTTTCAAAACATCGCTTCAGTAAAATACGTCGGACAAAATTAATATATGTCAGTCATTTTTCTAAACTATTTATTTTGAAAGTGGCTTAAGTCACTTTATCGTGATGAAAAGTGGTGATTTTTTAATGTTTATCCGAAATTATTTATACTGAGAAAAATATCAGTATCCTGAGATAACAAATACAAGTAAATCTTCTCGAAAGTTAGCATCCATATTTTTAAACGTGTTAAAACGCAAACCCTTAAATATATCGACTTAAAAACAAAGTGACTTATGCCACTTTCAAAATAAACGGCTCAATTGTTGATATTCTGAAAAAATACTTCTCCTACGATTTAGATTAAAATGTCTGTGAAACGTATTAATAAATTTTACACATTTTAAAATAATTCTAGAACAACTTGTCGAAAGAAACTGCACCCTGTGTGATCGATGAAACGCACACATAATTGATCTTAAAAATAGATCGACGCAGCTAAGCGGTTAAAATCGTCGATGATCTTTCGTCCTCTATTACCAGACCGTTTTTATTTTATCTCTCGAGCATCCACTAGACACCACACTATTTGAAAGTCAGAGAATCGTGTCACATCATACGGATTTTTAGACATATCTATTGTTTAGTTAACATCTATGTGTATCATCTTCTTGACTCTTACAATTATCTGTAATCTTTTTGTATGTTTTCCGACATATAAAATTGCAGTTGAAAATGGAAAGTCTATGTTATGTTCTTCGACACAACTACTTCTTCCTCGAATGATTTTTCTCCTCTTCTTCTCATAAATAAATAATAATTCTAATCTTTCTGCACTGAAAAGATCACGCTACCGGCAATAAGATTAACACATTGAGCGCCACGCGAATTCTTAAGGAAATCCCCGTCAGGCCACGCGCGTTTTTAGTTTTATATCATATTTTACACTGTCAGCCACCGATGGCTGACATGGCACTCAACGTGTTAAATAATTTAGTTACCGCTGAGTTGATCTCCCCTCGACCATTTAAAAACTTACATTATCCTCCGTAATTTCGGATAACCTTTGCTTCCGTTAACGATACTCTTCCCGTTCCCAGGTCCGCACCGCCGGCAGCGGGGTGAGAGGTTGGTTGGACGCATCCCACGAGACGAACAATTGGCTGAAATACGTGTGCAGTACCAGAAGCCCGCATCTCGTCAACATGCGTCACGTGCTCATTGGCGGACAGGTAATTAAGCCATCGGGCGCCCGAATTTTTCACCGAATTCCGCGCGCAATGGCAGCCGTTTCCGGCCCCGTTCGATTGTTTCGAAACTCGGTATCGGCGCGGAACCGTTTACGGGCCCGATCGCCGGCGCAACTGACACACGGCCGATCGACAGTTGCAGTTAATAGGAAGGAATAATTACAGGGTGTCAGTGGCAGTCCTTACCTGCGGCGAAACTCGTGAAAAAAGAAACGCACCGGGCGAACCGTTGGCTCGTTAACCAACGATGGAACGGAAACCGCGAGCAAGTTCGCGGCGCACGTCCAACTGCCAAATCGCTCGCGACTCTGTTGCACTTTGCTGCGTTCGATTAAATCGTGGCCAGCTTCGATGTAAATTCGCGAATTAGAGCGAGCAAGGTGTGTTTCTTCGACCGGTAGATTGGTCGAAGCGTGAGCTAAATTCAATCGCTGTATAAATTTATTATCTATTCTTGAGTGGTTAGCCATGGTAGGTTTCGATTAATAATGCATCGTGCTAGATTCAGGGTAGCGTATTTTTTCGGAGAGTCAAAATGTAGCCATCGACTTCATTTTTTGCTTACATGTACTGCAAAGATCACCCTTCAACCGTAGGATGACTAAAGCTTCAGCGATCGAACGAAAGCCGAAGACGGGCGAAATTTCGCCCAAAGCAAACTTTCTTTATTTGTGTATCAAAAAATCAGCGTTTCGTAAGATTATTATAACGATATTATATTCTAGAGAATGGATGAAAAGAGAGAGCAACACATACGCTGATTTTATTACAAAGATGTCTTTGCAAATGGAAAGTCTATGTTACGTTTATCGACACAATTATTTCTTCTGTTTACACAAAGTTTCCTGAAAAGACTTTTCTCCTCGCTAATTAGGTAAACCCTAATCGCTGTGCACAAAAGCCCTGGAGTAACGTGAACCATTCGGCTCGAAATAGATCCAGCTTACTGAACCCACGGTTAAGACAGCACGCTTAAATTCGATCTATCTCGCATGGCAAAGTACAATAGATAAAACAGAAAACGCGATTTTTTTAAACCAGATATTAAAGTTCATCTTCGAGGCCCTCGCAAAAAGAGCTGGCAACCGATAGGAACCAACAAACGTACCAAAACTTAGATCATACATGCTACAATCTAGGACTCGAATTTCAAAGTCGATCATCCGTTTCCCGAGATTCTCCGTGCGACGATAGCCGAAGGTCGCAGGACGTGGATCCCGCGCGGGCGTCCTCTCTATCTGTGCGAACATCGACACATGGTATTGGTCGGTAGTATACAGGGTGTTTAGTTATTAAGTCACCCTACAGAGTCGTTTGGGCTCGGTGCACGCCCCGCGATCGTTGTGGGAATGGGGGACGACGCGTTTCTCGCCTCTGGTATCACGGCCCTACGGAATCGGCGGCGTAATGACTTTTCGGGGGACACCGTAAAGATCCTTTGATCGCTTTCGAACGTTATGGACCCGGATGTAAAGTACGTGTCGGCCGGGGCCGAGAGTTTAATGGCCGCGCGATGGGCTGGCCCCGGCCGGGCCTGGAAATTATTGCAACGCCGATTCGATGACTCGATATCGGCTCTTTATCCGCCGCGACCGTTTTCCGCGATTGTTATCGGCGCGACATCTTGCCGCTGGTTTCGCGACGCCGGCACTCGAGTCGAGGCACGAGACGACCCGCGGACCAAGGGGTAGGAAGATTCAAGGGTGCGATTGTCCGCAGATGGTGTACGAGGCTGTGCGGGACATAGCGGTCGGTGAAGAGCTTCTTCTCGGCGTTCGAGAACCTCTTCAGCTGCAGGACATGCTCGGAGAAAATACAACCGAGGACAGAAGCGATCGGGAGACCGGTGAGTATCTACGATCTTGTCGCTTCGAGCACTCCGGCTCCATTCTAGCGATTATTATTAGACCCGTTAACGAGCCTCTTCCACGCGCGGGATACTCGTTCAAGCTAATCGGGAGACGACGATGTTTCATTCGCGGCAGATCATTGTAGCCCTTCTCTTCGGCCGGCACAAGCTGTCGGTCCTGTGAAACTTCGTCGATGGTAAACGAATAATTGAAGCGGCTAGTTTGTAACACTCGTCCAAGTTTTATCTGTTCTTCGGTGTGAAAGTAACACCATCGTAAAAATGGGCCATGAAAGGCTGCGATAAGATCGGGTGGGATCATGCAACGACGTACAACGTGCACTCTTCTTATCCGAATTGATTAGTTATTTAACCATTGGGTTGTTGCAAAAGTTGCTGAAAGTAACAAAGTGAAAAGCCTAACCTTAAAGAACTGCCTAACTTTAGAACTCTAAACCGCTATTTACAGGCAAAATATCGACTCGTGTCGATTTCTATATTCGATCACACGAAATGCCTTTGTTCCTATTAGACTTTGTCAACACGCACACGTTCTCGTTCTGTATTAAATAAACTATATGAACGAAAACCATAATACACTGTCTAAGTAAAACCTTAACAGGTTACGGGCTTAGTGTGCTTCCAGATACAGTAAATTCTCTCTAATTGACACTCAGATTGTGCACAAAAATGGAAAATCTGGGAAGAGGAGATTATTTGAGCCTTGCGTCTCTATTTTATAGTTGTTGACAATCGGTAACTATAAGAAAAAAATAAAAATAATCGTATCTCTTCTTCCCAAATTGTCCATTTTTGTGTACAACCTAAGCGTTAGTTAAGGAGAATTTACTGTAGATGCAGTAATTTCTCCCTAATTCGCGCTCAGACCGCGCACAAAAATGAACAATTTGGGAAGAGAAGATACGATTATTCGAGCCTTGCGTCTCATTTTTATAGTTATTGCCAATCGGTAACTATAAAAACAAGCCGCGAGACTCGAATAATCAAATCTTCTCTTCCCACATTGTCCATTTGTGTGCGCCATTTCAGCGCGGATTAGGGAGAAATTACTTAGCCGTGATTGCTTTTCCAAGAACCCGATACAATGCCAGATGAAATCTTTACCGATTTGTACAGCAAACACTGCTTTGTTCGTTGCGTGAAACGCGTTTGGATAACAAAAGAACTCGAGTACCGGAGATTCAGCCGCGCGTCCATTAATCAGTTCGACGATCAATTAATTTCGTTGAACAAAGACCGGAAACGGCGGACGATCTGTCAGATAATCGAACCGGTTACGATAGGTGGAATTAGCGGCGCAAGCTGGCTTTACGACTTCTCGGGCCGATACGGATCGCGCTGACTCGTGCTTGTTTGCGGGATCGCGATCGTGTGCGAGTCGGAACGCGTGGGGTGGGCAGGTGTCTTCTGTAGTCGGTGGCCAGGGTAGTCGGCGAAGGCCGATGCGAGGGAGGACAGAGGGTAAATCGTGAATCGTTGACTGCAGGCCACCGCTCTTGCTCGTCATGCACCCGTGATTCCTGGCGTGATTCACCTGGCCGGCCGCGGCCGTTGCGTATTAACCCCTGTCCTGTTCGGTAATAAGCGCTGATTATCTCGAGATAGAGGCGTTCCCGGCAGCGTGTCGGGCCGGCCTCGTGCCGCTTTAAATTTCGTTATAAAACATCCTTCTCTCGCGGGGGTGGGCCGCGCCCGATTCGACCAATAAAACGAGCACCCTAGCTCGCCCTTCCATTAGCTCGGCCAAGTTTCGGGGTCGGCTTCGGCTCCCGGGAGAAGTCCGTTATACAGAAATTTCAAATTCGAAACGGCGATCCATCTTCGAGTTTCATTAAAGAGAAAATACGTATATACTTACCTACGTATAAATATGTATTGCATATAGAGCGNGTGCTTCCAGATACAGTAAATTCTCTCTAATTGACACTCAGATTGTGCACAAAAATGGAAAATCTGGGAAGAGGAGATTATTTGAGCCTTGCGTCTCTATTTTATAGTTGTTGACAATCGGTAACTATAAGAAAAAAATAAAAATAATCGTATCTCTTCTTCCCAAATTGTCCATTTTTGTGTACAACCTAAGCGTTAGTTAAGGAGAATTTACTGTAGATGCAGTAATTTCTCCCTAATTCGCGCTCAGACCGCGCACAAAAATGAACAATTTGGGAAGAGAAGATACGATTATTCGAGCCTTGCGTCTCATTTTTATAGTTATTGCCAATCGGTAACTATAAAAACAAGCCGCGAGACTCGAATAATCAAATCTTCTCTTCCCACATTGTCCATTTGTGTGCGCCATTTCAGCGCGGATTAGGGAGAAATTACTTAGCCGTGATTGCTTTTCCAAGAACCCGATACAATGCCAGATGAAATCTTTACCGATTTGTACAGCAAACACTGCTTTGTTCGTTGCGTGAAACGCGTTTGGATAACAAAAGAACTCGAGTACCGGAGATTCAGCCGCGCGTCCATTAATCAGTTCGACGATCAATTAATTTCGTTGAACAAAGACCGGAAACGGCGGACGATCTGTCAGATAATCGAACCGGTTACGATAGGTGGAATTAGCGGCGCAAGCTGGCTTTACGACTTCTCGGGCCGATACGGATCGCGCTGACTCGTGCTTGTTTGCGGGATCGCGATCGTGTGCGAGTCGGAACGCGTGGGGTGGGCAGGTGTCTTCTGTAGTCGGTGGCCAGGGTAGTCGGCGAAGGCCGATGCGAGGGAGGACAGAGGGTAAATCGTGAATCGTTGACTGCAGGCCACCGCTCTTGCTCGTCATGCACCCGTGATTCCTGGCGTGATTCACCTGGCCGGCCGCGGCCGTTGCGTATTAACCCCTGTCCTGTTCGGTAATAAGCGCTGATTATCTCGAGATAGAGGCGTTCCCGGCAGCGTGTCGGGCCGGCCTCGTGCCGCTTTAAATTTCGTTATAAAACATCCTTCTCTCGCGGGGGTGGGCCGCGCCCGATTCGACCAATAAAACGAGCACCCTAGCTCGCCCTTCCATTAGCTCGGCCAAGTTTCGGGGTCGGCTTCGGCTCCCGGGAGAAGTCCGTTATACAGAAATTTCAAATTCGAAACGGCGATCCATCTTCGAGTTTCATTAAAGAGAAAATACGTATATACTTACCTACGTATAAATATGTATTGCATATAGAGCGGCCCACAAAAGTGTTCGTTAAAACGCAGTAACTTTTTTCAAACTGGTCTAAATGACTTGAATTTTTTTTTTTTAGACGATTGAGGGACTAATCTTACTAGGCAATCGCTAAACTGCTTTTTTCATTTTTCTATTATTTCAAATGATAAAAAAAGAATAAAAGACTCTCGTTTTTTAAATATTTGATCTGCACCTATAACGAAAATTTAAAAAATTCCTTTTTTAGTAACTTATATGTATTCTGAAAATTTTATCGAGATCTGTTGAAGTTGTTATTAGTCAGAACAAATTAAAGATCGCAAAAATCGCAGTTTTGCCGCGATTTTTGACGCGTCTGACGAAAAAATGTAAGGAATCAGCAGTTTTTAAAAATTTTCCACACCTATAGCTTGGCATTTAAAAAAAAGTTAGAAAAAAAAAGTTAGAAAACGAGAGACTTCTATTTTTTGTTGTTATTCCAAGCAATAGCAAAATTCAAAGAAAGCATTTTACTCATTGTCCAGTAGACTAGTCTCTCTATCATCTAAAAAAAGGTCATTTAGTCTATCTTTAAAAAAGTTAATTTCGTTTTAAAAGGCGCATTTCTCTCGGCCACTGTATACATATATTTGTCTACGTAAAAGTATATATATACATAAATATATACGTATATCAGCGCACATTTGCGAGAAGGGGCTGGTACTCTAGGTGCCTGGCTGCGCGACAATTATCTGGTTGTAACTCCTGCGCGATGGTCAGAATCCGGATGACTGCTGGGCGGAGATTGGAGACGGGGTTTATAAGCGACACCCAGATGTCGCGGTAATTAAAACCGGGATTATTGGCGAAGTTCGGCGCGCGGTGTCTACGGCTAATTCGCCGGCGATTTTTACCCGTAACTCCCGCGGCTCGTAAACGTCTCACTGGAGGACAGCAGACACCGACGCTCGGCTTCTTAATTAAATCGCTTCCACTCCCCAATGAAATTTTCAAAGATTTCGTCCGTTGTAAATGGTCGCCGGAGGGCGACCTGCAACGGAAACACTCGCTCCCACACGCTTCCGGCGAATGTTTGCTCGGAATTACTCGTACGATACATTAATAATTTGAATTTATCGAGTTTGTTTGTTTGTTTTTTTCTAAAAAAAATCACACTTTGTCATCAATAGACTGCGAATTTTTATGCATAGACGTTTCTATCATACTTTAATTATTCTATTCAGTTGAAAATAATGCAATGGAACTTTTAAATTTTTAAAATGTTTTCACTGTTCTGTAATTTGATCTACTCATTTTTGTCGGAAATGCATAAAATTCGCGGTCCAGCTATCAATATTTAAATTAAAATTCGATAATTAATGTTTAAATTTAATATTTAAAAAAGCCGTTAAGTGATCACTTGATCTATTCGTTAACATAGTCGGCGAAGATGTGACAACGCACAAAGAGGCCGTCGTTTCTGAACGAGGAAGATCGTCGATTCAATTTGCGAACATTTTCATCGAATAACAGGATTCCCCGGCACGAATTAAAGCCGCGTCACCCCGCAATAGTTCCCCGGGGGTTTCTAATAAGCGAGAAAAAAGTGCCGTCTATAAAGTACTCGGAAATGGTAGAACGGCACCGTCGTTAATCCAGCGGGGCCATTTTCACGTGAAATCTCCGGCAAGCTGGTGCGTGCAGCGAGAATAATGATGTCAAACAAACGGTACACGCTGTACCAGCCCTTGCGAGGGATATCTCTGCCCTGTCTCCCTTTGAGCGGATCATTTTTTTCCACGGACAGAGACAGACAGAGAGAGAGATAGAGGGCGAGAGGGAGAGTGGGAAGGAGAGAAACAGAGGACGCGACAGAGGCGGGAAGGGAATCGCTTTAACGTGCATGCATGGGGTCGCGTATGCATACGACCGCATTAAAATGGCGACTACATCCCTCCTACGGGTGGAGCGGTTTTTTTCTTATCCATTTTACAACCCCATTCGTCATGCACCCACGAGTTCTCCGTTTCTAAACTTCCAATTTCGTTCGGCGATCTTTTCAAACAATCGTACTCGCCGATATGAATTATATTCCAGGTTCAAGTACGGTGATCGAACGATAAATACAAAAATATCCGTATCTTTAGATCTTAATGTTGGCGATGTTGAATTTCTAATCGACGAGTAGAATTAGAACGGCTAGAGTTCGAACGACAGATTCGAAATTTTCGAATTCTGTTGGTCGCGTGTGAAACGAGCGAAACTGTTACCGGGGTTTGTTCTCTCGCAGCGCTAGTTGTCGAATGACAAGCCATACGTTTTATGATCCCAGGACAGACGCATTTTTCCCGACGATTCGGTAAACCACGTCGCGCTCTCGCGCGTGCATCGGGGGGCGTAGATGCAACTGGCGACGGCAGTTAACGTGAGTTATGGTCTGGATTTTTCGCGGCGTCCCGTTTTCCAGCCTCCCCTCGCCGCGCCCCTCCCCGCAACATTTGCTCCGCGTTCCGTTCCGTATCGTTCCGCTCCGTCCAGGGAGACGCTCATCTCGCCTCTGGATGGCTCTATTTAGGGTCGCGGATAATTTATGGCCTGGTATTGTCGATTAACACGCGCGTAAACCTGGCCTCCGGGGCGACCTCGACCGGGAGAAAGAGAGAAAAAGAGGTTGGAAAGGGTACGCGGCCTGAAAAAAGGGGTATCCGCGCATAAAAGGGCACGCGACGCTGTTTTCCGAGGGGGTGGCACGCGCGCGATCGCGCGCGGGGGGCGGGCGAAAACGCGTGACAAGCTGCAACCCTATCTGATTCATCGAACTAATGACACGTCCTGTCCGACGTTTGACTTTCGCCGGCCTTCGAGGCGTTTTCCGCGCGGACAGTGCGTGGGACGAACGCCGGGGATGACTTTCCCTCGGAGAAGGTACCTAATCGACTCCCCGAGGGTAAACCGCTCGAAATAGTTCGAGGCGTGAATCTGGAGCGCGATGTTGCGAGCGTAAAATGTCAGGGCTTGTTTCTAACGAGCTGGAATGAGTCGGGGAAAATGCGTGCACGATTCTGACCTAATCTGATATTTAATATTATAATTTCCTGGCTTTTACTATCAATCAACCGAAGTATCGCGTAGGCTCATCTGACGTTCTGTAACACGCAATTAGCTGGCCTCTATAGTGAATTATTTGCATCGCTCCGTTCCTGGAAGTACCGGCTTTTTACGCGTTGCGACATTCCGTCTCGCTCGAGCCCGGCTCCGGCTTCGTCGGGCTTAATTGCAGGTGGCTCGGTTCCGGTCCGAAGGTGTCCGCCGCTTCGCACGAATTCTTCGGGGTATCTCGTTGATCCTGCTACCTCGCGATGCCACGGGAACATTGATTTCCGTTACTTTTTCCCATGCAACCGCCAACTGACGCGTCCGCAGGGGGTGTTGCCGGTAGATCCCACCTGTTGACTTTCCACAATCCGACGGTGCGTTTTTTCGTTGTCGAAAAGTCAGGCTTCGTTGCTGGTTCCCCGATAATGCCCGCAGTCCGCAGATCAAACGAACTTCCCGTAGACCCAGAAACAGAGCTCCAATCATTTCAGTAGCAAGATATTCCTCGCATTCTCTGCCAATCAGAAATGCCATCGCAACAACGGCGCGCTCCACAAAACTCGCTGAGTCCGTTTTGCTTCGCAAAGTCCGGTTGACAGTTTTTTTTGTTTGTTTTCAGTATAACAGCATCTCGAACAAATCGGTCGATTCTCACACCCTTCTGTCAGTCCGTACAGGCCTTTCGCTATTTATTTCTAGTCCTCTTTCGGCGGCTGGTTAGCTGACCCCGTTTTGTGGATCACGAGGCCGACCGCATCCTTTATTGTTTAAATTCACGGCGTGCCGCTTCAAATTAGTCGCGGATGGAGAAACGATTAACGTTCTAGAGGGGGTTGCTTCGTAGCGTTGGGCGTAGTTGGTGGCGTAGGGGCCGTGCCCGGTTCCCATGAAGGTCCGTTGGGGGCCATCGTTCGACCATATGGTCCGGACAAGTGTAGCGGCAGATTTAAATAACCGTTGGAGGACGGGTGTCGTTTCGATCTCGCCAATCGCCTGGCTAATACTCGATCGACCACTTCGATCTCTCGAACTTTCTGTTATGCTTGTAAAATTCATCGACGCACAGCCTATTCGATTACGACCGACCGTTGGAAGTTTTCGAGCTGATTCAGCAATGATGACACGTTAAATGATATCGTATTTAGTCCCATAACATGATTGCAGTCATTAAACGAGAAAATGTTCAAGATTATACAACTATGTATAATAACACACCCCGTGAGGGAAAGGTATCAATACCTTTTAAAATTAAATATCTTTTAAAATTTTGTTGTATGCTTTAAAGAATCCCATTGCGAAATCCTGATAATCCCCGTTATATATCTGCTATTAAAATCTTATAGTCCTTTTCGAAAATATTATGTCTTTTTAATAAAAAAAAATTAAATTTTTTACGATGGTATCAATATCTCTCCCGTACATATTGTGTTAAACAGCGTGACTTAGACTGGAATCTTGGAATTATGTTCCGAAGCGAGAAATTATTTGGAACTAATCATAAACTGTGCCAACGTCGCTCAACCGTAGATTCTTCTTCCGTTTTTAAAACGATTTCCGACATCGCCTTCGCCATTGTAATTTCTAAATTAACGAACACCCCGCCCCCCCCCCGTTCCGATGTTGAAAAACGGTCTCCTCGAGAGAATCGTGGACGGTAAAAATTATTCACCGTCTCGTTCACGGCTCCTGATTTTACCTGCCGTTGCTTCTGTCCGCTGGGGGTAAATAGCGGCCGCAGGGGGGCAACCGGAGTCTCACCTGCGATTGGCCGGGCTTTTACCAATAGGAAGCGGTCCCGGACACCCCCGTCCGCGTTTTCCCTCGCGGACAACGTGCGTCGCTCGAGCCGGTGCATCATTGTGTCCATTGTCTCTGCTCGCTGCAGCATCGCGACGGATTAGCGGCAGCGAAACATAGTTCGCGCAACGAGTGCAGAGAGTGCCGTCCGAGTTCTTCCGTCCGTTCCCGCTTCGATTTATGCGCCGGCTGTCTTCGAGACGATTGTGAGCACGAACGATTTTCAAAAGTTTGCAGATATTCGTATTTCGAGGGGAAAAAAATTGTAGCTCGGAGAGGCTCGCGGAACACGTCGAGCTCTTCGCGGCGCAGATGCGCGACGATAGTGCCGCTTTGATTTAATAATTCAGGAACAATCCCGGCTTCCACTTGTCACGCCACTCTCCGCTGGCCCCCGCCGCCAGTTCTCGATCACGTAATTCGCCCGCACCGCGACGGGTCACGTATCATCGTTCCTCGGGGGTGTAATTTATAGAGCCGCAGCCCGTCACAAACTGGAACGGAATTACGACTTCCACCCTGTCTCCCGACCGCGGCCGGCGTTGTTTCACCAGCCTTTTCTTCTTTGTGCTTGCAGCCTCGCAGCACAGCGGAACCATCGACGAGGATAAAGAGGACGAGGAGGAGGGCGAGACCAGGTGCACCGTCTGCGACAAACCGTTCCAAGACATCGAACTGTGAGTAATGACGTTATCTTTTCGCCAGAGAGAACTCTACGCTCCCGAGATATGTTATCGACGCGAAACAGCCTTGTTATTACATCCGCGCGAGTTAGAATCCGCCGCTGATCAGATGATACACGGCTCGACTCATGAACGATTCATAAAACGACGTAGCACGCTCTTCGGATCAGATCGTCGGTAATTGCCTCCTAAAACGAGATGCCACCGTCGAATCGACGTCACTGCGATATTATAAACGTTCGTATTATGTTGTTCGAACTTCCATCGAGTCTCGCGACTCCTGCACATTCCCGGATAAATGATTAATTGTTCGACAAAATACTGGAACGATCGGTTATCCTCTCGAAATCAGAGCGTTAGTTGCGTTCCTAACGAAAGGAGAGGGGTCCCGAGCACGCGAACTATTTCGAGGGGTAAACTGCCCGATAACTTTTTCAGGGGTCGGCGCTGTTTGCGCCCCGCCATTCAACGAAAAGTCAAATACTTGTCCGACCCGACCGCCATATGGAGGTCGCCTACCGGCTACTTCCCACGATTCGGAAAATCGCAGCACGTGTTGCTCTAATTGCCTCGCCGATCGAAAACAAACCGTCCACCTTGGCGTACTTCGACTTCGAACCCTACACGTTCTTCCGACCAATACGATTTTTCCGTGACGCGTACCGTCGCGTGCCCGTTCTCGATCGTCGTCGCGCGAATGAACGATTGGACTCGGAATCTGCCATCGTGGTGGACCACCGCGCCGGGCCGACCGGTTTCCGGCGGTCGCACTTTTATTTGTTGCTCGGGCCAACTAGCTCCGCAAGTTCGGCCGTCCATTTGGTTCGGTTCCGGCATCAGTTTCCCGGTTCCCTGACAAGCCGCAACACCAGCCGCTTCCGTGCGGCTCGGTTAGCCGGCAGGCAGGGAGGGCAGGGCGGAGTGTAGGACAGGGCAGGGCAGGCAGAGTCACCTGTTGTGGCGCATAAAGTACGCGCGAGATCCGCATTCGGTTGCATCGAGCCACCCCCTTATGCATCATCGAAGGCGTCGCGTGCCCGCAGCTCATCTGGCACGGCGCACCGTCACCGTGAGCCTACTATCTCACCACGAATAGGTTTCACGCGACACGTGTGTTCGAGGGTGTAAAATCAATGCCGGCACACACCATGGCACATCCTGTGACCATAACCCGTGTGCGCCCGCTTCGCGACACCCCCGAACGGGCGACGGGGGACGCGGCAACCCCGGAGCGTTCGTGTGCACCTAACGGCCCCCGATGACCACCCCCCTCCCTCGGCGTGGCCGGCCGGGCCGTGCGACCGTTATTACGCGAGAGGTTGTCCACCGCCGAGCTGCCGGAGTCACTTAGTCATCATCCTCGACTGCACCGAGCGCAGTCTTCGCCGGCGCGCTGCCCCCGCCGCGGATCGATTAAATCCCGGGTGCCCTGCTCGAGGAATCCGCCGCGAGATCCTCCACCGGTCGCGTCCGAGACCAACCCGCGAGATCCTAGGAACGGAGCAAGTGCCGAAAGAACAGTGCTAGAGACCGTAATCGCTGATCGTTGGTGAACTTAGGCGAACATAGGCGAATCTGTAGCGCGACAGATAGTCCTAGCCTTTAGCAGAGTCACTTGACCGATCTTACGCGCACTCTGGCCGTCAAAGCTGTTGCATCGAAGGGCAGGAAACTGGACTTAGAAAGAGACAGAGAGAGAGAGAGAACGAAAGAGCGATAATTTTAACTCGTAGTAGCCTCTACTGTCCCCGGAGTGTTTGCATGGAAGCACAAGGAGAGAGATAGAGAGAGTGAGAGAATGTGTTGGGAAAACTGCTAGAGAATGGAAGTGGCTGGACAGTGATAGCTCGTACGATCTCGGAGGCCGATAGACTGGTTGTCTTATCGCGGATGCGATTTCCAGATTGGACAGCCACTTGGTGACCTGCCACAGATACCCGGCTGAACAGCACCGCTGCGACAGCTGTCCTCGCGCGTACGCTTGGCGACCGTTGCTGGTCCGTCACCGTGCCATCGTCCACGGGGATCTGCGCAACTACCCCTGCGAGAACTGTCCGAAGGTAAGTCTCACATCCGTGGCTCCCGCGGAGCAACCCTACAAGTCCCCCCCCTCAGAGTAACATCTTCAAAGTTTCGCTAACAGTCGGACAATCCGCAGGTCTTCACGGATCCGTCGAACCTCCAGCGGCACATCCGGACGCATCACGTGGGCGCGAGGAGCCACGCGTGCACCGAGTGCGGCAAGACGTTCGCGACCAGCTCCGGGCTGAAGCAGCACACCCACATCCACAGCAGCGTGAAGCCGTTCCAGTGCGAGGTCTGCTTCAAGGCGTACACCCAGTTCTCGAACCTATGCCGGCACAAGCGCATGCACGCCGACTGTCGCATGCAGATCAAGTGCGTTAAATGCGGACAGTCGTTCAGCACGGTCACCTCCTTGTCGAAGCACAAGCGCTTCTGCGACTCGACGCCACCTTCCGGTCCCCCCGGTCCTCCAGGTCCACCCGGAATCATACCGCTGCTACCGACCCCGCCTCCCAGCCCTTTCATGGTCTACCCTCGTGCCCCCGGCAACCTCCCAGGAGGAATACCTTTCTATCCGCCGAGCCTGATGGGTCCTTACCCGGGGATCTTTCCGAATGCCCCGAACTTCCTCAACACGGCCCTTCTATTCCCGCCGAAGGTCGATGAGGCCGAGAAGCGAAGCGACAGCCCGAAGAAGGAGCGCTTCTCGCCGCCCAGAGTGCTTCCGCAGCACAGCAAAGTCTCTCCATCCACCGCCGAGAAAGCGACCTCCTCCTTCAGGCCCTCTCCGGCTAGACCACCCGTCCAGCCGCCGGCCGACGGCGAAGAGGAACCTTCGAAGAAGAGGGAGTCGAGCAGCAGGACCGAGAAGAAGACGGACTCGGAGCTGGCCTCGTCGGCCACCAGCGAGGAGACAACGGACCAGCCCCTGGATCTCAGAGTGCAAACGAAGAAGCAAGAGACCAACTCGAACGCTACCGACAGGAAGAGTCGCAGTCCTTCGCCGGTTCCAGCGTCGATAGAGGAGGTACCGCCGCCCCCGGAGCCGCCCAAACACGAAGAGGAAGCTTCCGCACCTATGGAACTCGATCCCAAAGACGTGCCGAGCAGTCCCCATCTAAGAACCAGCCTGTCCGCCGAGCAACCAGCCGCGAACACCCCGCCGCACATGGCCTACCCCAGACCGATTCACCCCATGTTCCTCGAGGCGATGTATCGCGGACCTACCGGCTCGTTCCCCGGCTTCCCGGGCGGTCCTCCGCCGCCGGGAGGCGCCGCCCCAGAGTCCAGATTGCTGCCACCGCTGCCCCCGTTCGGTCCTCCGCGGGGCCTACCTTTTTTAGGAACGCTTATGAACGGGCTCAGCGGAGCTAGGCCAGGTGGAGGAGGGTTCGACCTGTTGGGTAGGCCACCGTTGGGACCGTTCCCCGGCGTGAAGCCTTACCAGGAGGCCGTGATCGCTCCTCACCACCATCACCACCACCATCACCATCCCCACGGCAAGATGAAGGACCGCTACTCGTGCAAGTTCTGCGGCAAGGTGTTCCCCAGGTCCGCGAACCTGACCAGACACCTGCGCACGCACACCGGCGAGCAACCCTACAAGTGCAAGTACTGCGAGAGATCGTTCAGCATCTCGAGCAACCTCCAGAGACACGTGCGGAACATTCACGACAAGCAGAAGCCGTTCAAGTGTCACCTCTGCGAGAGATGTTTCGGCCAGCAGACCAATCTCGACAGACACCTGAAGAAGCACGAGGTGGACGACGGGAGCGGAGGCGTGTCCGTGGCGGACTCGCCCGGCAGCAGCAACGAGAACGAACGGGAGGACACCTACTTCGACGAGATCCGATCGTTCATGGGGAAAGTGACTTACGGCGGCGAGGCTGGCTACGGGCTGCCCCATCATTCCGCTTATCTGCCGAGTCGGCTGCACGAGATCCACGAGTCCAAGATGGAGACCGAGTACGACGAGGACGAGGACAGCGAGGAAGGTGTCTCGCCCCTGGACGAGACCGACGGATTGTCGCCCGTCGAGACCAAAGAGACCACCCCGCCACCGCAGTACGACCTGAAGCTGAGGGAGAAGCCGGAGCTGTTGAACAACAACACGGCCGAGCCGGTCATCGAGATTTCCACATAGCCCCTAGGTCGTTCGCGTCGGACGAGAGACACCGTTTAAGGGACCACCCTTCGGCGAGGCTCTCGCGAGGATGTTCGTCTGGATGTAACTTTTCTTTTTTTTAAACCGTAGCTAGACTCCGTCGATCGTGTCCGAGGTCACTCGCGTCGAAGCAAGCGTCGGCGAGTAGACCCGTCCGAGATCGGATATTCGCGCGATCTCGCCGCGAATCTTTATGTGTCCTCGGATCGGATACGTTCTTACGTCCCACGTCTCTGTTCTTTTGCACCTCGACAGCGGGAACGCGAAGGGGAGACATCCACGCAGAGTTCTTTCTCCTTAGACCGCGCTCGAATCGGACGCGGCCCCGTGCGAACGAAGTCGCTGCCGTCTCGTCGATCGATCGACAGCGATTTCCCGACGATCGCGCGACGTTCGATCGGGACACGGTCCTGCGTGGATAGAACCGCGCGCGAAGGGAGGGCGCTCCGTAGCGTAGTTCCTACAGGCTCGTTTTCGTTCTACACGCGCACGTAATTGATAATCGCGACTCGCCGCGATCCCGTCCGATGGAATCGCGCGAGCCGGACCCTCTGTAGTATTATTTATTCGCGACGAAGTTACGGCGCCCCGTGAACAGAGAGCAGTTCTTTGCGAGGACGGTTCCGGGTTTGTGAAACCCGATCGCCGGTATTCGTGGAAGCCGATGTGATCGCGGAACGGAAACAAGGGAGATTCGGGAAACGATGCCACCGGATCGCTGGAGTCTTTCGCTGGGCGGATCGCTGGAATCATCGACGAAAGGGAATACAAGACGAAAGGATCCTAGCTGCGTTCTGGATCGATATTCGGGAAGCCAAAGCGACGAGGACGACCACTCGCGAAACAAGCGTGTAATTAAGACAGAGAGAGCGAGCGAGAGAGAGAGAGAGAGAGAGAGAGAGAGAGAGAGAGTGAGAGAGAAAGAGAGAGAGAGAGAGGGAGAAATGTTGTATGAAAAACTGTGTACAAATTTCCATTAGGGGATATAACGTTTGTAAAGAAACAGAGATACAGAAGTTCTTCGTGATTTTTATTAATATATAAATATACATACTATACATATTATATATGAAGATATAAATGCGGCCTCGTGGATCCGGCGAGCGGATCCGGGAGCTCAGGACGCTCCTCGTCGGGACGCATAGTTGTTAAATTACTTGGCTCGATAGTTGATGGGAATATCAGCCGTGTTCTCATACCTGTTCTCGACGTTCAACGTGCCCGCGAATGTTTTAGTTTAGGGGAAGCAATAAGAGTGACGTTCGCGAGACCATCCTGTATAATGCGGTTCTCCTTATTTCCCGGTTTCGTTCGTTAACAGTTCACCGACAACGATTGCGAATACCGTTTGGCGACTGCGTCGACGGAAACGTAGGGCTTCAACTGTTTTTTCCACGCAAGACTATTTGCGGATACGTGTTCTCTACATATCTCTCCTCCTTATCCTCCTCCTCCTCTCCTCCTTCTCTCTGACTACATAGATGATAATAAACTTACGGATTGATTATGCGTAATTACGTCGATCGAGATAAATAAGAACGGTTATATTATTGCTCTATCTATACATATTGTATAAAAGCATCCTGTAACTTCATTATGATTACTATTAAAATATTACACTTCAATCACGCCTACTGGAAAACCTCCAACGACGAGCCCGGTATTATTATTATAGTCGAACCTGCTAATTTTAATTAACGATCTCGCGCATGTCCGCGTCGAGTGCCTCCAAGCCCTACAAATCCGTGTCCGACTATGGCGGACCATTTCCCCTGAACGAATGCGTTCGTAAAAGAAATATAATGTTCGAGTACAAATTCATCGGAATTGCAATTAATTCGATTAATAATGCTTGTACGAGGTTATTGGTTCGTTTCAATCGACAATTTTATTAGGCACGCCGATCGATCTCTGCTTTACAGCACGCGACTGTATCGACGACAGATAAGCCGAACAGAGTCCACGAGATCCTTCAATTCTCGGTAGATTGCGCCGCATCGACGCTTCGACGTGCTTCGCAATTTTCAAAATTCAATCCGCGTCGGGGTGCTTCGTCGATTTATTCGAATTATTCGTATTTCGAAAATCGTCGGAATCGCGTATTGTTTTATTGTTATTATTCCGCGCAGAAGACTATAACAACATCGGCGACAGCAGTTGCGATCAAATTCATCGCAATTATGAGCACAGTGTTACAATGATCGACCGATCGACAGTCGTGGCACCACGGTTAATTAATGAATACTATGCTCGGCACATACGTGCATGATTCGCGATTGATACAACCGATCTCTCACGCCCACGCGCTCCGCGGCGCATAGGGAGCAATACCATCTGTTACAATCAATAACAGCTGAAAANGAGTGAGAGAGAAAGAGAGAGAGAGAGAGGGAGAAATGTTGTATGAAAAACTGTGTACAAATTTCCATTAGGGGATATAACGTTTGTAAAGAAACAGAGATACAGAAGTTCTTCGTGATTTTTATTAATATATAAATATACATACTATACATATTATATATGAAGATATAAATGCGGCCTCGTGGATCCGGCGAGCGGATCCGGGAGCTCAGGACGCTCCTCGTCGGGACGCATAGTTGTTAAATTACTTGGCTCGATAGTTGATGGGAATATCAGCCGTGTTCTCATACCTGTTCTCGACGTTCAACGTGCCCGCGAATGTTTTAGTTTAGGGGAAGCAATAAGAGTGACGTTCGCGAGACCATCCTGTATAATGCGGTTCTCCTTATTTCCCGGTTTCGTTCGTTAACAGTTCACCGACAACGATTGCGAATACCGTTTGGCGACTGCGTCGACGGAAACGTAGGGCTTCAACTGTTTTTTCCACGCAAGACTATTTGCGGATACGTGTTCTCTACATATCTCTCCTCCTTATCCTCCTCCTCCTCTCCTCCTTCTCTCTGACTACATAGATGATAATAAACTTACGGATTGATTATGCGTAATTACGTCGATCGAGATAAATAAGAACGGTTATATTATTGCTCTATCTATACATATTGTATAAAAGCATCCTGTAACTTCATTATGATTACTATTAAAATATTACACTTCAATCACGCCTACTGGAAAACCTCCAACGACGAGCCCGGTATTATTATTATAGTCGAACCTGCTAATTTTAATTAACGATCTCGCGCATGTCCGCGTCGAGTGCCTCCAAGCCCTACAAATCCGTGTCCGACTATGGCGGACCATTTCCCCTGAACGAATGCGTTCGTAAAAGAAATATAATGTTCGAGTACAAATTCATCGGAATTGCAATTAATTCGATTAATAATGCTTGTACGAGGTTATTGGTTCGTTTCAATCGACAATTTTATTAGGCACGCCGATCGATCTCTGCTTTACAGCACGCGACTGTATCGACGACAGATAAGCCGAACAGAGTCCACGAGATCCTTCAATTCTCGGTAGATTGCGCCGCATCGACGCTTCGACGTGCTTCGCAATTTTCAAAATTCAATCCGCGTCGGGGTGCTTCGTCGATTTATTCGAATTATTCGTATTTCGAAAATCGTCGGAATCGCGTATTGTTTTATTGTTATTATTCCGCGCAGAAGACTATAACAACATCGGCGACAGCAGTTGCGATCAAATTCATCGCAATTATGAGCACAGTGTTACAATGATCGACCGATCGACAGTCGTGGCACCACGGTTAATTAATGAATACTATGCTCGGCACATACGTGCATGATTCGCGATTGATACAACCGATCTCTCACGCCCACGCGCTCCGCGGCGCATAGGGAGCAATACCATCTGTTACAATCAATAACAGCTGAAAATTGTTTTACCCGCTTCGATCTAGATGGTAGATACCCGCGCCGTGTATTAACGATCTCCGAGGTATCGTTGAGGACTCGAAAATTCTGGGGCACGGTCTGTTATCTAACCGCACAATGGATGCATTCGCGGCGGCGTAATCGAACCTCGAGATGACGGTGAAGCAACGATTGTACGCGCGAGCGAACATTACCGGCAACGTGACTTTGACAAAAACCGTCTATCTAATTACAAAATTCCATGCTGTTCGAGATCGGCCGCTCGAGTTTAGAAAGTGGAAAAATCCGTCATAGTTATCGGCCGGGGCTTTTTGCCGAATCATTTTGCGCCGGCGGATTTCATTACGTGTTAATTACCGATACATCTCGCCGCAAAGTGCAATCGAAATTCATACTTCTCGCCGGCCAATTTCTTCCTAGGCGGCTACCATTCAACGTTATAGCAACACCGCCGGCTTTTTGTCCCGCCACGAACAAGCTTCGACTTCTTGCGTATCCGTCTGCAAATTAACGAGTGGACGACAGGATCCTTGTTACTTTTGGTTTCGATTGAGCGACGCGAATGTGTTTTGCCGATGAAAAACCGACAGGTCGGCTGCCACTGGCGGACGAAATTTTTTTTTAGGATTTCCAGTACAGGAAGAGACGGCTGGAAATTCTCGGTTTCGGTTCTTCTGCAGCGACGCTGTTTCGAAGTTTCGCAGTTCTTTTTTTTCTCGGAGTTTCGACGTGTCGGCGAACGCGTTAAACAGCAAAAACGTTCCCGCCGTCGATTCCGTCAGTCTCACGGTAGTTTCCGCGACGGCGTGCGGCTGTCCTTTTAGGAGCCGAAGGAGAACCGAGAGCAGCCGGAGCCGAGAAACGCGGCTCGTTTTTCTCGTCTCTCATCTTGCCACGTCGCGCGCGTCTCCTTTCATTTTAACGCATGATCGCACACCCGATCCGATCCGACCCGCGCAACACACCCACCGATCTCTAATCCGCCGCTACACGCTGCACGCATCGGCGCTCCAACCTCGTCTATCTTACGGAATAGAAAACGTCGCTCTGCTCGAACCGACTCGCCTGCAACTGCTCGTGCACCGACCATGCATACACGTATACGCGCGCGCACACACGCTCTCGCCCCGGCGTTTCAATCGCGTTCACGAAGATCGTAATTGAGACAAGCTTTTCGAGAACACAATAGGAGCCGTACGCAACCTTCGACTTCGCTGCTACCACTCGAAAATCATTTTCAATTTTACCCGAGAACAATGGGAGTACGTGACCTCCAACTCCTGTGCGAACATCCTTTTACTTTTCGACTTATTTATTTGCCGACCGAACAATGGGACTCGCGATCTTCGCTGCTATTTTGTAGGCGCTTCTTTTTCTTTTTTCTTACTTTCCGATTCAGTTTTCTTTCCGGTTGGGAACACAATGGAACCTGCAGCATATCTTTACCTTCACCTTCCATTTTCCGACCTGCCTCGCCGTTGAAGAACGTTATGCATACCGGAACTTCGTCGCTGCAACTTCGAGATCCTTCAGCTGCTCGGTTTCCGTTCACGGACTTCGCTAAAATCGTACGCGATCTTCGGTTTCGTCGGTTTTGTTCAGTCTTGCTGCCATTTTGTGGACAAAATGACGAACGGTTTTTATCTATTTCTTTACCGACGAATCGTTCACTTCGTCGCTACCATTTAACGATCCTTTTAGTTTCCGCTGAATTTATTCTTATTTATTATTATTATTTACTCACGGGTCACTAGACGCTTTTAAATCCTACAAACGAAGCACACGTTCTACGGAGAAAGTAAACAGTACAAAGATTTGATAACAGATACAATGGGATTAGTAAAATGGCTCAGGGTGCTTCCGAAGAAACCAAGTCTTCTGCCGAGCTCGTTGCGACGCAGCTCCGATAACTCAACGAAGTTCTATCATAACCGACGCATAAAAATTAACACGAGAACATAACGAGATTATATCGTTTGTATCGAGGTTGTATCAGCGAACACCGACTTGTATCGTGGAAATGGTATTGCCAGTCGACGTACTATTTCCATTTCGCTTGCGAGCGACAGGAAGACCGTGTCTCGCTTTCCACGGATCGAATGACGCCGCGCGGGAAAGAGTGCCGAGTGCCGAGATCGATTTCTTCTTCCGAGGATCGAGCGGCGATCTGGAGTCCGCTCGAGCGAACGAGCGAACGAGCGAGCGAGCGAGCGAGTAGCGCGATCGGGATCGGTGAACTCGGTGTCTACGTGAAATCTCCGTCGAGCTCGTTAAGCCAAAAGGATGAATTCAGATTACTTTCACTGCTTGACGAAGCTCGCGATCGCGCCGACGATTATTCAAGGTTTTTCTCTTGCTGCCGTCCGCCCGGTTCGCGCGCCGATTTTCTCGATCCGCTCGAGGCCGAGCGGAGTCGGAACCCGGCAGCCTCTCCCTCCGGTGCCGAACGGGTTCGATTGAAATATCGCGGGACGAGGGACAAATTGCGCGGCGCGGTTTCGAATATGAAGAAGCCCGATTCCTCTCCCGGCCGGTCCATTACCGGCGTTCTCCCGGTTGTAGCACGTCGAGATAAACAAGCCGATTACGCGGAAGATTAACTATCTCGCGTTAAAACGAGCTTATCTGCGCCTCGGTTTCGACACGAGACCGCCGCGCCGCGCCGCGCCGCTCTGCGCCGTCATTCTCGCTCGCCTGGCACCGATGCACCGATGCACCGGACCGCGAACGCGATGCACAGTTACTCGAAAACCCGGCTGCTTCCGTGATCGTCCGCGGCGAGCGACCGATCTCCCGGGATTTATCAAGGGGAGGAG